AAAGGTCTTACTGGTTTGGAACCACATGAGGGTGAGTAATTAATGACAGAATTTAAATTTTTGGGTCAACTATTCCTTTAAGTTCTGCTGTTTGTTTTTAGTTAAGGAGTTATAGATTATAATCATCACTACACCCCGACCCAAGCCCGTATAGACTTTTGAAATATTGTTATTGTTATTATTATTCCTTTTTTCTTTTTTTTAGCAATAGTTTTTAATGGACACAGTTGATCTGCACCCAATCGGCATATTAGAATGATTTCTGAAGGATCATGTGACGCTGAAAACTGGAGTTAATAGCGGCTAAAAATTTAGCTTTGCCATCACAGGAATAAATTACATTTTAAAATATATATTAAAATTCATATATATTAATATAATATTCACATATATAAAATTTAGTTCTTCACAAGCGGGATGGAACCTTTAAATATATAATAATTAATATATAATCTGTTGCTTTGCACACCTCCCATTCTTCTTTTTTTCTTTCACTTTCTTTTAGTCTCTTTCTTCCCTCTTTCTCTCATTATTGTTTTACATTATACTTTGTTCCATCCATTCAGGAATTTTCAGTGGGATATGCACAACGAATGAGCTTTGAGAGAGAGCGAGGAAGGTGTGGATATTGCTGTCAGCTCTCAAATACCTGTTTAAATAAACCGCCAGGTGGCTGTGCCAACAAGGATTACTCCAAGCATCTCTCTTCCTCTCTCTCTCAAAACACGCACACACAATGCACAGCAGTGCACGATACTAAGCAAATGTATATTTGCTGAAGAGTTGCTTCCTGGATTTGTTTGGAATGTATTTAGTTTTGTGGATGTATAAAAATTAATTCCTCTGTAATTCCACTCCATTGAACGATCACTGTAATCTGGAAGTGCTGCAGATTAACTCTTATTTTAGCCCTCAGATTAACTCCATTTAGACTTTATTAGGTGTATTTAATGTGCTCCTCTCTCTCTCCTTTCCCTCCATTCCTTTCATCTGTCATCACTTTATCCCTACACTCAATACCTGCAGTCGATTCCTGAGTTCATTTCCTGCTCTCTCTCGTTCTGGGACTATCATATACGCAGTTTTTCTCTCTTCGACACGGCGAAGAGTATGTCCTCTCGCTCTCTTTCAACGATAAATGACTATCCCAAGCTGACGAGGTTAAGAGCACTCTCTATACAGCCCCAAACACACACATTTATATAAACTGCATTCATTTCCATGTGATAGAATCAGCGCGACCCTCTCTGGCCCAGTCGTGATTGCAATAATCTCCATTGAAATATGACAGATAAGAGCAATCAATAGCAGAGGGGAGAGGAGAGGACGGTTTGGTCATACAGGCAGTGAAAGGAATTATTTTCTCTGTGTGTGTCTAGAGAGAGACTAGCAGTAATTTCCCATGATATCTGATCTGTGCGCGCACATGTGCGCGTGCGTGTATGTGTTCCTGTGTTCCTCGATAAATGTGCGGACAGGGGGGAAAAGCCCCTCTGGCTGTGTTTGTGACTGACAGCGATGGATACCTGCCAATCATTCAGCGATGTCATTCACAAAACAAAATGCTTTTCATTGTCCGTTTAGCACGGGGGAGGGGCTGACCGACCGGAGCAGGGAGGGAAAGTCTTAAACACAATTGCACAGTTCACACGGGTTATTAGTGCTGCTGCATCATTTATACATATAGAGAGCAAACAGAACACTTCTGTTAGTTGAATAAATGGCTTTTGTAGTACATCAGAAGCATGTTTTTGGGCTTGTATCATCTGAGTGCCTTGTTTGGTCACACAAACTGCTGTTTACATGGTGTATTTATTTTATTCAAGTATGATTTGCTGTTTTGAAGACTAGAGCAATAAGACTGAGAGACACCTTTCTTGTTTACCCTTTTCCCCTCTCCCAGGCAGCTTGATGCTCTATGTATTAGACATTGATACATACACTCTTTATAATATATGTAATTTAATAGAAAATAATAATTATAATGTAATAACTTACATTTTTATCATTTTTATTCATCATATTTTTTCCTTATACTTTATTATTATTATATGTTTTATACACAACAAATCAAAAGTTTGGGTTAGGTACGTTTTTTCCTTTTTCCTTTTTAAATAAATTAATGCTTTTATTCAGTGAAGATGTATTAAATTGATCAAAGTTGGCAGTAAGGATGTTTATAATGTCTCTGTTTCAAATAAATGCTATTCTTTTTAACTACTTCTTTTTGACATTCGTCAAAATATCCCTTTCGGGTGTCCCGAGTTCGAGTCCCGGCTCATGGACCTTTCTCAATCCTGCTCACCCCCACCCCACCCTCCCCCCTCCCACTTTGCTTCCTGTCTTAAGTGACTGTCCTGTCCTAATAAAGGCAAAAACGCCAAAAATAAATGTAAAAAAGGAATAAATTACGTTTTTTTTAAAAATTAAAATTGAAAGCACATTATTTTAAATTGTAATAATAATTCATAGTTTTTCTTTGTTTGTTTTTTTACTGGATTTACAATCCAAAAAACGTCGCCTTGCTAAGCGTCTAAAAAGTTTTTTTTTTTGTTTTTTTTTTTACCAAAAAAAGTAAAAAATACTGTCCTGTCAAAAACTGTTTTTTTTTTCACATGTGAAAAAGTATTTAGATCTGTGCCACATTCGGCTGCAGTGTGAATGTAGTTTAAGAATCTCCATCAGACACTTTAGTTTCTTTCATTCCACCAATTACACACTTTTTCTTTAGAGTTAATACCCAAACAACACATACATGCAAACTTTTTTGTTTTCCCACTCGTATTCGTTCCTCTTTTTTTCTATTCAGCTGTCTGTACCTTACATTTCCCTCGCTCTGCAAAGGTCTACATCACCATTGCTATTGTTAGCCTCCAGCAAACATGAAAAAGAGAAGGCACGAGAGAAAGAAAGATGTGATTAATTGTAAATTGAGAATCGGCTTACCTTTGATTATCCCTCCCCTCCCTTTCTCTTGCTTTCTCTCACTCACTCACACCAATAAAGGGGACAAACCTGATAAAGTCAGTAGATGGGTAAGCGACAGAGGTTGAGACAATAGTCAACACTCGTCAATAGGGTGAAATTCTCTCGGCCATCAGCTTGGCTCTGATAGCGGCTCTGATAAATCGAATCGGGGGCGAGACAGAAGGCTAATTTGTAGGCTTTTCTTTATACTGTTGTGTTCTCAAATTCTTTAAAGAAAGAGAAAGTAACTTTTCTTTCATTCGTTCGGTGGATTACAGCGATAATGCCAGCCAGTTTACTTTCACTTCTTCCTTCCGTTTCTGTCTCTCTGCCTCTATCTCCTGATCAGGGATTGAGTTTGGCTGTTTGATTATCTGCCTGTTCTCCTCAACCGGACAAATCAGTGCAATTATACTCACTACCGAGAGAGAGAGAGAGTGACGGAAAGGGGGAGAAAGAGAGAGAGAAAGTGTGAGAGATGGAAGGAGGGCGAGTGGGAGATGTATGCGATAAGACTGAGGCAGGATTAGTTTAGTGTTTCTTGGTATCGTGCTCTCTTATCATGGAGAACCATCCTTGACATTAGCTGTCACCGCCTGCCGCATCCTACTGATCCCAGCTTGTCTTATCCAAAATCTAATTCCTGCATGCACCCTACACCCTAACTGCCTCTCCCTCCCATCACCCTACACACCCTCTTCTTCCCTTTTACCCTTTACCCTGGCATTCCCCTTTTCCCTTCATCCTATAGCTTGGCCTTCCATCCCACCCTTTAGTTTACCTTTTCACCCTACACCCGCCTGTTCTCCTCAACCGGACAAATCAGTGCAATTATACTCACTGCCGAGAGAGAGAGAGAGAGAGTGACGGAAAGGGGGAGAAAGAGAGAGAGAAAGTGTGAGAGATGGAAGGAGGGCGAGTGGGAGATGTATGCGATAAGACTGAGGCAGGATTAGTTTAGTGTTTCTTGGTATCGTGCTCTCTTATCATGGAGAACCATCCTTGACATTAGCTGTCACCGCCTGCCGCATCCTACTGATCCCAGCTTGTCTTATCCAAAATCTAATTCCTGCATGCACCCTACACCCTAACTGCCTCTCCCTCCCATCACCCTACACACCCTCTTCTTCCCTTTTACCCTTTACCCTGGCATTCCCCTTTTCCCTTCATCCTATAGCTTGGCCTTCCATCCCACCCTTTAGTTTACCTTTTCACCCTACACCCTACCATTCATTTTCAGCCTTCACCCTCCACCCTGTCTGTCCCTTTCACCTTCATGCTACCATTTCCTCTTTAGCTTTCAACGAATACACTACCCATCCCACCTCATATTTATTTCACCTTTACCTTTCCTCTGACACCCTACAAAACCCACCCTTTCCGCCTTAATTAACACACACTATACTCCAAATACGAGTATAAATTGGTTTTGATAAATCTATAAAGGTCTTTTTTTTTTTTTTTGAAAAAGTTTTGAAATTAAAAATATTAATTTATTTTAATTAAAACATTTTATAAAGCCCTATAGACTAACCCAGATTTTTTATTTATTTACTTTTAATTTGATAGAATTTAATTACATTTTAAAATTTTTATTTTGAAGATCTCTATTTATCTCATCTGTTTTCTGTCTGTCAATCATTCTGTCATGTTCTATCACATATTCTATTGTTTATTCATTTATTTATCATTTATTATTTATTTATTTTGAAGAATTATTGTCTGACCCAGACTTATTTTAGTTTTGATGAATTTTGATGCATTTGGTTGACAGATTAATTATAGTATAGTTTAGTTTAGTTTAGAAAAATAAAGTACATTTTGCACCCTATATTCAGCTATTTACCCTTCAGCAACAGTGTTAATGGTTCTGCGAAGGATTGACACAACTGAAATGAAATCAGTAAATTTTTTTCCTTCAATCAGTCCTTCTTTTTTGTACACCAGTTCTTGTTTTATGTACTGTTTTATTTTATACCGCCCTTTATTTTCTATGCTTTATTTTAAACATCATCTGTTTTTTGTGTATGCAGGCATATGATGGCTTCGCCAGTCTGGGAATCTCTCGGCTTCTGGAACCGTCTGACATGGTTCTACTGGCGATCCCGGATAAGCTGACAGTGATGACGTACCTGTATCAGATCCGGGCACATTTCAGCGGAGAGGAACTCAATGTTGTGCAGATCGAAGCCAACAGCAGTCGTAGCACATACAAAGTTGGAGACTTTGAAACGGATACAAACAGTTCTATCGACCAAGACAAGTTCTACGCAGAACTTAATGACGTTCACCAAGAGCCCAACAATCAGGGTGCCGCAGCAACCAATGGTGGGCATGGTGTTAAAGAAGAGCAGGAAGTTAAGTCAGTCATGACAGTTGGGGGATGTGGTTCTCTATCCACCTCCCCAGGGAAAGTTCTAAAAGATGTAGCTCCATCTTTACGGGCGACTACAGCAGACCGTGACTCTCCAGTAGCTACAACGATCACTGAACCTCACCCACGATCCGCCCAAAGCACCAGAACCAACCTGGAGACCTCCACCAGCCAACCTCCCGCTGCAGAACAGAAAAAACTCCTCAAAGCCGATACACTGGACATGGGTGATCTGTCTCACAGGCTGGAGAGAGAAAAGGAGAGAGGGCAATCAGGTGGGTTGACCGCTGCTGACACCAGAGACTCCAGGGAGCAGCACGAGACCCCACGGCCTGGTGAAAGACAAATTGAATCTGGGTCACCCACGTGGCAGACCAGGTCTTCTCTAACGAACACACACAAACTGGGCTTCACGTATAACAGAGACACTGATCTTATCAAGAAGAAGAGAGCGAGTTTGCGCCACTCTGAATCTGACAGCAGTGCCCAGACCAACCACACACACACACCTGCTAAACTCACACAGGTAAATGTCAACACACACACAAAACTATCTATCTATCTGTCTATTTGTCTGTCTGTCTGTCTGTCACTTTCTTTGTCATTCTTTTTGTGCTTCTGTCTGTCTTACTCTTCCCAAGGTCTATAAACCTTCTGTCTGTTGTTTGTTCATTTTATCTTTTTGTATATTGTTATATCTGTCTGACTCTCATTCTATCTAATGTTCTATCTATCTGTCCGTCCGTCGTACTGTTGTTTTGTTGTTCTGTCATTATATCATTGTATTTATCGTTCTGTCATTCTATCATTATATCTATTTTATCATTCTACTGTTCTGTCATTCTTTCTATCAATCTGCGATTCTATATATTATTCTTTATGTCATTCTATGAAATCTTTATTTCTCCCTAAGGTCAGTAAACCTTAAAACTTCTGAGCCTTTTTTCAACATTTTTTTTTTTCCCGGATTAAAAATCCCATTAATTTAATTTCAATTAAAATTCAAGAGTTGAGTTGGAATCATCAGTTTTTAATGTCACACACAACCCTCCTTCCCAAGATTCTGGATAATCTGGAAATATCAAGGAATTTCAAAATTTCCTAGGAAAGTCATGGAAATAATTTCTACCATATTTATACTCCATACCAAAGTGTTTAATTGATTAAAAATGACACTTTGTGTGTGTCATGTAAAAATTATTTAAAGGTCACAAACAACTGGAAAAGTCATGGAAACATTATGGAAATTTATTGGTCAAAAAGTATGAGAATCCTGTTGAGCATTCAAAATGACCAAACCGCACAGGACTAATGGTCCAAAACAAGCAAGCAAACATAAATACACAGAAACACAATTTGAGTTAACAAACTCAAGTAGATATACATGCATGTTAAATGAATAATCCCCTGAACACTCCCAACAGAACAGCAGTTACAGCTTAAAGGGGAAAAGCTGCCATATAAAATCAAAGCACATAAAACAGTTTGAAGCTTTTTACATGTTTGATATTTTTGCCATTTTGTGAGACGCCTGATCGGCACAGACAGCAGCCGCGTGTCACTCGGAGTGGCATGTCATTATGTTTGGGCCGTCCCGCCTGCAGCTTTAATACTGACACGGGTTATAGCGTGTTCCGCATGAGAGCCTCTCCTCATCTATACAGCATACACACACACACACACACACACTCACACACTCACACACACTTGCAGGTATTGCAGCACAACCAACTTTTATCACACTCTCACCATGTATCACTGTCATTTCTTCCACTGAATTACTTCCCGGCTTAGATTTGTCCTGATTTTGTTTTGACATGTCATCAAGGCATCAGCTGTGACATGAGAGGTGTGTTACCATGGCGACAGTTACTTGGCACCACCTTAATTTTTTTTTGTTTTACACCCGTTCTCACCCGTGATGTTAACAGTGATCAGGACCAAACGTCTCCTCTCAGCTGTCAGAATCACAGCCATGCCAATCAGCCAATCAGCTGCCTGCTGGAGCCCGTAATGAGAGCGCAAAGCTTGATAGTGTTAGGAAGAGATGCTAATCTGACTCTCACAACATATAGGGTGATAGGGCATACATAGATTTGTTCTTATGTTATGTTTTTTTCCATGTTTTTTCAGGAAGTCATACCCGCCCCAGTGTCTAACACCAGTGAAGAGAAGGTGAAACAGATCATGCTTATGCAAAGTGGTTATACAAAGTAAAACTTTGTTACACTCAAAATTTAATGAAACCTGTTTCTGTGGATTGCAGAAGGTCCTGTCTCGTCAAGAGGAGCTGAAGGAGAGGGCCAGGCTGCTATTGGAACAGGCCCGTAGAGATGCTGCCATGAAGGCTGGAAACAAAAGCACCACTAATGCACAGTCACCTACACAAACTCCACAGATTATTGATGTGAGTTCACACACACACATAGACACTTTTGCTTAGTTGTCAACATCGACAGCCATTACTTCAATCAAATTATTTGGTGCTCAAAAAACATTTCTTGGCAATACTTTACAAAAAGATTCCATTTGTTATCATTAACCCTCTGAAGTCGATTAACGCGGATACGCGTTTTGAGGCATCTTCTCCTGATAACACCGAAAAGAACTTAAATTACACTTTCAGTTTTGATCTTACAGATAAGAGCAATACATCAATCGAATCTGTAAAGGGTCTACTTTTATTTGTATGCACACATAATAACAACAGAACTTTGTGCATTTATAAAATAAAGAAAACAAACGCGACGCGCTGTCTGCCTCCGTGGTCTGCGTGATCTTTATTTAGAGACGCGTCATTAAAATGAACTGTAACTCAGCAAATACTCAACAAAGAGACATGAGAGATATATCTATAGAAAGCTTGACATGTCTACTTTTAAACTAAGCAAGTCTTATCGAAAGCAAATATTCTGTGATAAAGTAATCCATATGAAACCAACGCGGTTTATTAGCAACTGAAAAAAGCACAAATGTCAGGACATGTCAAAACTTCTCCAGGGCCCAAAACACCCTCAGACCCCAGAGGGTTAATTACATTAAATAATATGAACTAACAATGACAAATACTTGTAAAGCATTTATCAATCTTAGCTAGTGTTCAATTTATTAAAATCAAAAGTTGTACAGTATCTGTTAATATTATTTATTTGACCTGAGCGAACATGAATTAATGAACAGCTGCATTTTTATTAACTAATGTTATCAATGATTAATAAATACATGCATTTCTCAGTAGTTAATACATTAATGTTAAATATATTTACATTTAGTCATTTAGCAGACGCTTTTATCCAAAGCGACTTACAAATGATGACAATAGAAGCAATCAAAACCAACAAAAGAGCAATAATATGCAAGTGCTATAACAAGTCTCGCTTAGCATGCAGTACACGTACACTAGCAAGGTTTTTTTAAAGAATGGAGAAAGCTAGTGTTAAAGGCCTTTTTCTTTTAAAGAAAACAAGCAGTTAGAAAACGAATAGAGAGTGCAAGTTTTAGAGGGTCAAGTCAACAAATAGATAAAATAGAATTAGAATAGAGAGTGCTAGAGTTAGAAGGTCAAATAAAGATAGAGGATATGTGTTTTTAGCTATTTCTTGTAGATGGCTAAGGACTCCTCTGCTCGAATTGAGTTGGGTAGGTCATTCCACCAGGAATGGAAATAAATGGATAGGAATAGGAAGATAATAAAAACAGCATTTAAAGATCATTATAAAAGTCTTTACTTGCACTTTTGATCAATTTAATGTGTCTCTGCTGATTAGAATAATTAATTTAAACTTTTGAATGATAGTGTATATACAGGTAATTATAGTTATGACTAAAACTCAAACCCTCCTGTTAACCTTTCAGTATTTTTGTATGTTTCAATTGTGGATTTTCCCACAGTTTTTTTTTTTCAAATATAATAATTATTGTGACAAGCTCTTCCATATACATATTTATAAGTGCGTATACACACATAAGTTCTTAACACTATTCCCAACTCGTCTCAGGATGCTCCTTTGTCCCATCAGACAGGAAGTAATGGAGAGTAATATTATTCTGTAGCCAAGAGCCTGCATGCTAGAGTCTCTCATTTCACACAGGACAAGTCTTTAAGGGTTACTCAAGGACTCCAGGTAGTGATGTAGGAAGTGACCAGTCAGAGAACATCAAGCGCTAAATAAACATGCTCTACTGAGCTCAGTACTGCAGGATGGCTGACACTTAATGTCGAAAAGCTCAGGCCATATCCTAATAACATTTCAGTTCTCCTGACATCCTGTTTTAGAGGAAGAATAGTGTGAAACGCAGTGGCATAAACATACAGAACCACGGGGGAGGGGTTTTCAGGACATGATGAAATATCTGGCATGTGGCGAATTTATTCAGACGTTTTGCTGTATGAATTTTAAAAGGAAATGAGATGCCCTTGAATGAAATGCGTAAGAAAGCAAAGAACAGGAACAAGAAGGCACCTCAGTGTGATGCTGCCATAAATTAAAGAAAAATATTTTATTTTCTCATAGTCTCTCGCCTGCAAAAGTCCTCTGCACTCTGATGAAGGGGAGATGGTCCTCGTCCCGTAAATTAACCACAAATTAGCGTCTGTGTGTGCGTTTGCAACGCCTCCATCCCAAGGACGATGTGCTAATGAGGCTTCAGTGCATTAGTGTGCCGGAATATTGAATTTTCACTTTTTAATAGAAAACATTGATCAAAAGGGAGCGTGGCTTGGCACACTGGTAATTGTTAGTGATTTAGATTAGATTAGTTGATGTCTTGTTTTGATTAGTAGGCCCTGTTATCTTATCACTGGCCTCTGCATGAAGCTCCTTCACTAAGAAGAGACTTTACGCTTTAGCATGCAGAGGGAATATTTTAATTAAATTAAGACTTGCTCCATTCTTTCAAAGTGGAGATAGAGATGGAGGGGTGAAAGTGAGGATGGATGAGAGAGAGTGAAGTCATTGGGGTGTAGTGAGCTTTTCAGTTGCACACTTAACATGGGCCAAAATACTGTGTGCCAATTTTTTATTTTATTTTTTACTAGCAGGGGCTAAATGATTCTGTCATTTAGATGATATATAGAAAAACAGGGAAGATTTGAATCGTCTTACAGTTCGTATTCAGCTTGATATTAAGGTATTTACTGTGATTTTAATTGAATAAATGCAGCCTTGATGCAACTAGCCCTTCAATATCCAGCCCCAACTTTCAACAGGATAAATGTTTGTCAAAAAGGGGTCTTTTAAATGAAGCACTGCTTCTCCATGTGTGTACAATATTGTTAGCAGTTAGCATACAGATTTGATTGTGTGTGAGAGTGTGTAGGATGGCCAGCGGGCCAGTCATTGTCCTCGGGCAGTGGTGTGTTTCAACGGGCCCATCATTGAACCCACCCCTCGCATGCATTGTGCTGCATTGGCTCTCTTGCTTTGATCTTTGCCACCCTCTCTCTTTCTCTCCGCTTCACTTTCTGTCTCCTGCTCTCCTACTCTTTGCTAACTCTGTGTATATGTGTGTGTTTAGGCCTTTGATAGTAGGATAACGGTATAAATTGTTTAGTAGTGGTCATTGTACTATGGGTAGGTGGCATTCACAATCCATTAGAACCAAACCTCTGAGTCGCTCTCATGTTGTTCACCCCCTGGTGAGAGCAAATCGCTAATTAATGAACAATTAGAAAAAGCACAGCGGCACAACACCCCCTTCATGCTAGTATACACATACACTCTTAAATGAATGTTCCAGGTTTAAGTTAAGTGCTATTGACAACATTTGTGGCATAGTGTTGACTACAGCAAAATAATTAAATCTCATCCTCATTTTTTAACAAAGGCAAATATTAGGCTAGTAACACACTTACAGAGTGATTCCAGAAATTTTAAAAGATGCAATGTGAATCATTTATGTATTTTTATTATTTTTAAATAAAAGCACATGCATAATTTCATTTTCAATTGTAAAGTCACATACACCATCTTTCTTGAAGCGAACATACTTTTCTATGTGGTCGAACTTCTTGTTATTCCTGTGGGTGGATTGTTATTTTGGTAACATTTCTGCATTGTAGTTTTTTTTTTTTTTTTAGCATTTTG